CTTATAACTATGTATATATCTATCTAACTTGCACGAAATCTATTTCTAGGTCCTCTTGTCAATTCTATACTGTTATTTTGCATAAAACTTCTTATATGAAACTCTTACCATGATGTATTGGCGGTTTGACCTCTTAAAGTGTGTGCATAATCGCTAAAAACAAGTCAGGTATGAGACAGTTACCCACAGAAGTAAATGTAACAGGATTGTGCAATATCCTGGATCGACTAAAGCTAGCAATACAAATAATTAGATGACAGTTGAATAATCTAAAGATGAATCGTTTAACACAACAGCTAGAATTTCTTGATCCCGTGTGACTGGGTAACGAATGCATAAACAACTGAAGAGTTCCAGTCTTCTACGACTATCTAACTGTGGTCTGTTTTCTATGTTAGCATATATGTATTATACACATTAAACAAATAAAATCCTCTAAAAATATATTATTTTCAACTCTGTTACATTTATAGATCGTCCAGTTTCTTCAGAACGTCCTGATACACAGACTAGACAACAGCAACAACAACAAACTACATTCTGCGCTGATACAAATTCTAAGCTCATTGAACCTGATTCAATGTATCTTGACAATTTAGAACAGCACAGATTAAATGGTAGTGGAGATACAAGTGCATATTGTACTAGTGAGAGTAGAAAAAGTCAAAACGATTCATTAATCAATGATAATCATAGTTTTACAATGAATAGCAATGAGAATGTGAATAATAATAATAATAATATTATTAGTAGTAATCATACTACTAATAATCCCAATTCAAGTAATGGAAGTCTTATTGATCAACGTTTTAACACTGAAAATACTAGTAGTAATGTACAATATCCTACAAAAACAATTAGTCATTTACATTATAATGAGAATAACATAGAAGGAGGCATAGCTGCTTCATTATCTGATTTAGGCGGTTCCCTATTATCATTATCTGCAATCCTTCCTGAAGCTCATCATTACCGTCAACCTTATCATCATAATCCTCATCCTCACCATCATCATCATCATAGTCGTCAGTATAATTCTAGTGAAGTACACTGTACTAATAATCATCATCATCAGATTACAACATCAAATGATTCATTTAGTCCATCATCTAATTGGTCCATTGATGGTAATTCACAATATACTACTCATAGTAATCAAATCAGTAATAAATATAGTCATCCTGATTTAAATATACATTATACTGAATCATATTACACACCAATTCGTCAATTCGATTCACCAGTAGCAGCAACAGTAGTATCTTCTATATCAACTACATTATCATCTTCATCATCAATAACTTCTAGTAGAAATCATCATCATCATCATCATCATCATCATCATGAATCGTCCAATGAACAATTACCGTCAACATCCGACAATAATAATAATAATCATAACTTAAAAGTAAATAACACATTTGATTGCATGAATGACAACAATTCATTGAATGAACAAAAACGTCATGTGAATTTTACAAAAGATATTTTATGCAAATCAAATATGAAATTTCATAAATCCGATTATTATCATCAACAACAATTATTACATAATGCTAATTGCCTATCGGAACAGAATTCACAGAAATGTTTGATGAGAGAAGGTTAGTTGGCATTATTTGACTGTTTTATACTTTCATACTTATCACTAACAGATCTAGGTTAGACAATCATTGTTAACGTGTAAAATTAAGATTAAAATTTTGGTTTATTTTTAAGAAATAATTCATGACACCATTTTTTGAGTTTCAGTTTCAGTTTGGCGACAAGCAAGCGATGATCTGAGTCTATGTTAACGACTCTCTTTGTTCAAATGTCAGTCAGTCAGTCAGTCAGTCAGATGCAACGTAGAACTTCGTACGTAAGTACATCAGTTCATGTTGCCATACCACATCAGCACAGAGATGTAATTGTCAATTCAAATCCAATAGTAGAAGAGGTAGTTAAGGTATTAGAAGTAATCGGAGAGGTTAGGATGAGAAGATATTATTCAAGAAGTATGATTCAATGAGAAAAGTTTAGAAAGTCAAAACTAGAGGCGTTGAAGAATCCAGAAGATTAGGATTTGAGAGAGCACAACGAATGGATGCACTTGCGCCATTGCAAACGATTTTGAGCCATGTCGTTCAAGGTCTCTAACCATCGATTATTATCATCTCGTGGACCCCAACCAGGTAGTCTACATCTACCAACATGACTCAGTCCACTTGTCAGTGACTTCATGGATTTGTGCCATGTTTTGGTTTGGCCGCCACTAACTTTCTTCCAACCTACTCCTACACTACAAAACAAAGCTCGTCGAGGCAGTAGGTGGTTAGGCATACGCAGCACATGTCCCAACCACCTCAACTGATGAAGTTTCATTACTTCATCTATTGATTCGCCAATGTCCTACATGGTTCTTCTGAACTTTTTTGTTGATACAAATATGATCGGTTAGGTTCTGATGCAGTGTAATCCATGTAGTTTTGCCACTGATGACTAGTTTGTTGAAAGCACATTAGTTTAGTTAGATAATTATTAGAAAAACACTAGAAGATACAATGGAGCAGCTATTTTGGGCTTTTTTTTAATGAGACTTTTCAGCACTGCACATCCTCTGCTTCACTATAGGAGAAATTTAAATCTGTCGGTAAGAGTGGATTACTCGCTAGACTTAAAGAGTTGATATATTATGAATTGATTAAAATTACATAGAGATTTCTTTCTGATACACCGAAGAGCACTAAGTTATTTGGTTATAACTACTGAAATCAACAAATTGGAGAAGATATTACTTATAACTCTCAAAGGCTTAGTGCTGAGGCTATCAAGTTTCAGAAAATTCTATTTCATTTTCGCATTTCAGTTATTTAACAATAAATTCCTAAATAGAATAGATCGATTGTGACTAACAATGGATTGCAGAAAATGCTTTTCTACTCATCAGCGGAATGAACTTGAATTCTACTATTTACACTGCGATTTGAACTTAAGACCATTTTACTTCAAACGCTCTGATGTGTTATCCGTTAAAAGCTATTGACTGCCTTACACCATTAGTAGTGTGAGATAATTCATAGGTAATAATTCATAGATAACTAAAATTCTTACTTTATTAAAGTCACTAACAGATGTAGGTTAGACAACCATTAACTTGCGCTAGAACACCTAACCTCTGGACCACTGAGCCGACATTCAACGGTGTTAATGTCTAGCTCTGATCAATCTAGAGATTTCTCACAACCTCTCCCATTTGTCTTGCTTAGTTACTGCCAACACCCGACACATTTGACATTGGATGCCGGTCCAGTGGTCCAGAGGTTAGGTGTTCGCGCGCAAGGCTGAAGATCCCGGGTTCGAATCCTGCGAGGTGCGGAGGTTGTGGATGCGCACTGTTGATCAGTCAGTCCCATACCAGGATGAAACAGCCGTTCAATGCTTCCATGTTTCTAAGATGGTCGTCCAACTATTGTTGTAGTGAAGGAGAACACAGGTGGCGGAACCGAATTGTATTTAACGAAAATTACAGAGTTACTCAGTAAAATCGGAAAACCATATCGAGAATCGTTAATTTGCAGAATATCAATCCATCATATCGAACTGGACTGTTCCTGTTGCAAAATATCAATCCATTTTCACTATTCATGCGTTTCATACAAATTCCATTGTGTTCCCATTCTTCCTTTCTTGATCTCTCCCCGTCTTCTGCTGCCAGACATTACGTTTACACTCACCTAATATACTACTTATAAGTAGCTCGCACCACATTGTGATTATTTGACTTCATTCATGCAAATCATTAATTTTAACATAATGACTGTAATTATTAATATTATTATGTATTGCACATTTTTAGACAATTCTGAAAAATCTCCTTCATTAAATCAAAAGTTAAAAACTAAAACGATCGACAAATATTTACCATTATATCCTTCTACTTCTACTACCACGACATCATTATGTTGTTGTAATGAATGTTTAAATCCTTTAACTTATCAAATGAATCATTTATCATCAATGAACTGTATGCCAACGACAACTTTAAATGAAAAAGAAGCAGAAGCAGCAGAAGAAGAAATCTTAACGAAAAATATTCCCATACACACAATAACATCCATGCATAATCAATATAAAACAAATCAACAACCTCATTCATATGAATTCTATGATAATTTCTGTTGTGCATTAACAAATCGAATCACATTGAATTCAAGTGAACAACAACAGCAGCAGCAACATCAACAACAACAACGGACAGTAAACGCATCATCAGCATTATGTCATCAACCATTAACACATTTCAATGAATCGATCAATATGGAAAAGACAAATTTAACAGTAAGTTGAATTCATTTGATAATTATACTTGTAAAGTAATTCAAGTGAAGGTAACAAGCATTTATTTGATGTTGGCGTTTTGAAATTTTTGACTTTTGTGACTTGAATACTTGCTTTAAGTGTGGGTAGAAAAATTGACGGTTGATCAACTTATAGACTGCTTAATCACTTACTTACTTACTTACGCCTGTTAGATCACAACAGAGCATAGGCTGCCGACTAGTATTCTACAACCTACTCTGTCCTGGCCCTGCCTTTCCATTTCTGTCCAAATTTTGTTCATTCTTTTCATGTCTGTCTCCGTTTCTCTCTTTTCCTTTCGCCTTCCAATTTAGGGCACGTCTTTTGACGAAGTTAAGTGCTTTCCGCAATGTATGTCCCATCCACTTCCAGCGCTTCTTCCTGATTTCCTCCTCCACTGGAATCTAGTTTGTTCTTTCTCACAGTAGATTGTTGCTGATGGTGTCTGGCCAACGGATCTGAAGTATTTTGCGTAGGCAATTGTTAATGAATACTTGAATCTTCTGGATGATGGCTTTGGTAGTTCTACAAGTTTCCACTTCATAAAGTAGAACTGTGTTGACATTTGTATTGACATTTGTACCGATTTCGGTGTTTATTGACAGTTGTTTTGAGGTCCAGATGTTTTTCATTTGTAGAAATGCAACCACTGCTCTGCCGATCTGCGACTTTACATCTGCATCCGAACCACCTTGATTGTCAATAAACTGCTGCTGCTCCATAAATCCAAGCTCCCTAGGTTTGAAATCTGTTAGCCTATCATGACTACTGTTTGAGTTCTCGTTTACATTATTCCATAAAAATGAATTGAACTCCCTTAACTGAAGCAATTGCTTCTTGGTTGAACTGTCAATTAAACTTTGTCGCATAGATTTTGAAATGATATCCATCTTAAATTATCTTGTCATGGTTTGAAACTCTTAAGCAATCTATACATCCATAAGGTTAAAATGCAGTTGAATTAAAAATCTTATAGCCTCAAATGAAACAAAATTACATCAAATTATTCAAAGGTATTATGGAATGATCTCAACTTATATTAGTGATCAGTAACTGTTTGTAGTACGATTGCTCAACAAAAATTCCAATAACTCCTCAACCTTTTGCGTGTAGCCCCTTATAAAGTGTTATTCCTCATTGAAAGAAAGTACACATTTATAAACTATATTCCTTCGTATATAAAACACAAATCGTTCAATTCATGAAATAATTATGATGAGTAATGTTCATAAGGTTGTATTTAGCTTATAACATCTTTAAACTATTAGAATTCTGATCTCTTGTTGAAACCATGCGGGTTGTGATAAATGGCATGTACTTAGTCTGAGGTAGAAGTAGTATTATGATGGTGATTTTATTCAACTTCAAACAATTAGATGCTGGTTGAGTAGTGGCTTGAATGTTTAACTTGCATCGTGAAACTTAAATGAAGCGGGCTTTATTGAAATGGTGGATTCACACCTCTGAGATTAATTTCTCAAGATGAAATAGCTCTAGTGTTACTCCACACTTTCGAATGTTTTTTGGTAAATTTTAAGTGTTCATAGTTAGTTGTACAAGAAAAAGCTAAATACAAAAACATAGTACCACTTGAAAACTCCTACTACAGCTACTATAAAAAACGACGCAAATGCCAAGACTAGATGGGATAAGTTATTTACTAGGAAAAGACACAGTTTACGAGGTTATTTTCATTGTCTTCTTCCACATGTCTTTTAGCCTTCAAAATACTGGTTGCGACATATCCGTCTCCAAAACTCTTCAGTAACTTCAGGGCGACACTCCGCGCTAATTAAGTGCATACTATTCATAAGCTGCCTTGTGAGTAATTTACACTCAATTACTACTCATACCCATACTAATAATATTACTGTTAGAAACCAGAAATAATATGTATCATAATTTTGAATAATTAGCAAATTTTTCAGTTAGAATTAAGGAGATGAGTGTTTGTTGCTCATTGAAATAATCAATCACTCATTGTTAGACCACTATTAGAAACCTGGAAGCACTGAACAGCCGTTTCGTCCTGGTAGGGGACTCATCAGCAGTGCTCATTCAAGACTCCTGCATCTCTCAGCATTCGTACCTAGGGACATTCGGTGTTGCACGCGAACGCCTAACCGTCGGACTACTGGGCCAGCATCCAACTCTGACCAATCTACAGATTTTAAGCGACTTCACACATTTGTATTCGGTATTTTCTGCCTACCTACACCAAACAGGGTTGAACTATACAATAGTCACATCTTCTCACTAGAATTCCGAGAATTTCCACACGAACCTAGTCACCACTAGTGAGCACATTTTATGATTTTTTTTCAATTAGACTTATAGAGATAAATGTGTTTTGCACACATTGAACATTTCATATTTTCCAAGTTTCTAACATGAAAACACAACGTTTTTGTCAAACATCCAATGTGATTGTAATCAACAAACTGTTTGGCGAAATTATCAAAACAGATCATCATCATCATCATCATCATCATTATCGAGAATATCCAGAGGAAAGAGTAGGGAAATCAGTAAGACAGTACACAGTATGAAAGAACACAGAAATCATTAAGCATCATGTGAATATGCATATATATAGGCACACGACTCTTGTCTAGAGCAAAAATCTGAGTCAATCAAATGCATCAAAGTCAGTTAATGATGTAGAAGACGGAGAAGAAAGATAGTGCAAAAAGACAATTGGCTAAATAAATTCCAGTTGGTATAAATAATGCTCTTACTCCATCCACTTCTTAGTTTCTTCTATTTCTTGTCACTTATTTCATTGTTGCCCCCCTCCTGTTTTGTTTTTCCATTTTTGCAAGCACAAATAGACAAAGGAATAAGCCTCATGATGCTTAAAATAAAAGTATAAATCACTTGCTAGCCAAATAATACATTGTATACGTGTACATTTACATAGACGTATGTATGTATGATGTATTGTACATGTTGTTCTGTACACAGTTATAAGTGTAATGTACACTCTGCACACACACACACATATATATACATACGCACAACTATCAGTCAGTGTGTACAAGGGTATCATCATCAGTGACACCAACGTCAACAGAAAATTATGATTCACATAAATTTTTAATATAATTCATTGGGATTTATGGATAATATTTGAAAATAATTCATGGCAATTAGACAGTAAACAAGCTTATATGATAGTAATGAATGTATTGTTTACTTACTTACTTACATTGTCAAAGGTTAAATTTGATCAAGTTAGACATTAACACTGTTAGATACCGGATCAGTGGTCTAACGGTTAGGGCGTTCACGCACAATGCCGAAGGTCCTGGGCTCGAATTCTGCGGGATGCAGGAGTCGTGGGTGCGCACACGAAACGGCCGTCCAGTGCTTCCAGGTTTCTCCAATGGTGGTCTAACATTGATCGATTCATGGTTTCAAAAAAGGTTAAAGTATCACTTTATGAAATATTTACAAGGAAAAGATGAGGAATTCTTTGACAAGACGAAAGAGTAGACTAATTTTATTTTGATAGACTGATTTAATTTTCATAGATTCATTCCACAGAGTCTAAACGATCGACATTTAGACAATACACATTTGAAATCATCAATCAATCATTGTTAGACCACTATTAGAAACCTGGAAGGCCGTTTCTTTCTGGTATGGGACTCATCAGCAGTGCGCATCTCCGATTCCTGCACCTCACAGGATTCGAACCCAGGACTTTCGGTATTGTAGGCGAACGTCTAACCAACGGATCACTGAGCCGGTATTCAACGGTGTTAATGTCCAGTGTTTTCAGGTTTCTAATGGTGGTCTAACATTGATCGATTCATGGTTTCAAAAATGTGATAATAAAATTCACTTTATTCTAAACCATACAATATCAATGCATATGGTTAAAAGACATAATTGTTTAATTACTACAAATCTAAAAAATAGAGAAACTTTTTTTAATGCTCATAAATTGATATTTGTGAACCAGAACATTGAACAGACCATGGTACTGCCTTATTTACTTTAGTTTCCGGTCATAAACTCATCATTATTATAATTTTCATAGAACTTTAAGCAATTTGTCACTCTAAAGTTATCAATCTATTACCGGTTATATGATTAATTGATAGAGTGTTTATAATGATTGATCACTGGAAATAATATTTGTCACAAATTTTTACATGATTGTTTTCATGTAATTTCTAAACGCATTTATGTTCATTTAGAAAAAATAATCACTGATTAATCTTAATTAAAACCACAACTCACATTGATAAGTTGTTTCATTGTAACAGTATTTATCAGCGGTAAGCATCATTGGCCTTTTCACACGAGAACGAACCAAAAATCTTCGACCTTATAACAATCGTTGAACTTTTAGACCAAAAACCACCACCAAGACAGCACTGTGTATTGTTTTCAAATGGTCCTTCATAAACCATGCTGGGAGGTGTTCACTAAGTTACCTGGTAGTACGCCCGATTTAGCTATCTCCACAGGAGCAGCTGAATTTGTAAATGCACATAGAGGAGGCCAACTCAGGTAACTTATCCTTCGTTTGGGTAGACATCACTGGTCGACTTGAGAAGGTCAATGCAAGTTTGGCTGCATTGAATGTTCTAATAATTGGTAGAACTTTTATTTTTCTTACTACTATCACAGTACACCTGTCTTCCTACTATTATCAACTTATACTTTTGCCTATTATGTGTGTAGTGACGGAATCTATTTCATTCCGTCGTGATTGTTGACTCATAAATTGCCTTGATCGGTTTAACATTTCCAAATATTCAGGTACATTACAGTAAAGCTTGATTACGATCTAATCGAAAACAGTAATATTGTTCGCTTATATATGTGTTGTTCTAACTTGTAATATAGTTGTATGGATATTCGATAACTCAACTTAAACTGATGCATTTCCTGAACCAGATTGTATGTCACTGATTACTGACTAATATGTTTAACCTCGAATGAACTCTAGTAAATTAGATACACCTGTGTTCATTTTTTCCAATTCATGTTGTCAGGATATCAGTTGAAGCTTGAATGGGATTATCGTTTCTAATTTTTCGTTTAAGGTTACCGCATGCGAAAAAATCAATACTTTTACTGATGATACTAAAAATCACTTTATTCTAAACCATACAGTGAAAAACTGTCAGTATGAAAAATGAGTAATTGCAACATCAACTATGGTTTTATGCTTTTGACTCACAAATATTTATAGTGATCGACTGACAATCATAATCACCAGCACATGTTTCTACATACTGACTTACTCTTAATATATCTCTTTCCTTTACTGTATACATTACTGTGTACGAATTTTGTAAAAAAAATCTTTCGTTTCGCCAAAAGGCATAAAAAGATGAAGAGAATTATATGGGAACTAGTGAAGTACTACTGTGGTGCGAGCTACTTATAAGTAGTATATGACGTGAGTGTCAACGTAATGTCCGGCAGCAGAAGATGGGGGAAGATCAAGAAAGGAAAAGTGGGAACACAATGGAATTTGTATGAAACGCATGAATAGTGACAATGGATTGATGTTTTGCAACAGGAACAGTCCAGTTCGATATGATGGACTGATATTTTGCAAATGAACGATTTACGATATGGTTTTCCAATTTTACTGAGTAACTCTGTAATTTTCATTAAATACAATTCGGTTGCCCCACCTGTGTTCTCCTTCACTACACTGGTACATTTGTTTCTCAATCATTGCATTCATCATTGTTTGTGAAGATATTTCTCTAAACAATATCAATGCATATGGTTAAAAGACATAATTGTTTAATTACTACAAATCTAAAAAATAGAGAAACTTTTTTTAATGCTCATAAATTGATATTTGTGAACTGGAGCATTGAACAGATCATGGTACTTACTGCCTTATTTACTTTAGTTTCCGATCATAAACTCATCATTATTATAATTTTCATAGAACTTTAGACAATTTTTCACTCTACAGTGATCACTCTACTACCGGTTATATAATTAATTGACAGAGTGTTGATAATGATTGATCACTGGAAATCATATTTGCCACAAATTTTTACATGATTGTTTTCATGTAATTTCTAAATATAATTATATGTTTATTGAGAAAAAAATAATCACTGATTAATCTTAATTAAAACCACGATTCATACTAATAAGCTGTTTCATTGTAACAGTATTTATCGGCGATAAGCATCATTGCTCTTTTCACAGAAGAACAAATCAAAGTTCTTTGACCTTGTAACAATCGTTGAACTTTTAGACCACTAACTCAATCAATGTTCAATAGGGGTTTATAATGTTTGTTTAACTCTGCTGATTCATTTTGTCTTATTGACTAATTAAAAAAACGGAAAATCATTGTCAAAATATCAAGTACATGCAATTTTATTTGGAAAAAAATAAATTTTATAATTTATGAATTTCTAAATATTAAATTAGGCGGGGGCGGGAATTTCTCGACATTTTGAAGGGAAAAAAATATACATAGATAATTATGAAAGGAAAACTAATCGTACTAGTAATAATAATCATAATATAATAATAATAATTTATAAACTTGACATTTTATTATGATGAAAACTTAAACAAAGAATTTTTTTTTGAATCATACACCTTGGGCATTTTTGTTTTGGAAAAAAAAGTGTTCAAGTGTTCAATGTTCAATTCATAGTGTGTTCATTTGTTTGTATACGTTTATACACACACACACACATATGTATGACTTTACATTTTAAACGAAATCAAATTATTTATTACAAAAAAGTATAATATTTACTTTAATATATAAGAATAACACATATGATTGTCTGAGAAAAATATCTTTTAAAAGATTATTAAGAATACTGAGTAATACAAGTTTGAATGATCGTATCGATTGTTAATTGACTAACACAAATATGTGTCGTTTTTAACAAAGGTGACCATGACATTTGATTAGTAGTATTTATCAAAGATTCTCTCTATCTATTTGTATATTAGACTTGAATTTAATGAGATAAATGTCATGTACTTGTTTTAGATTAGTTTATAGTACATATTTCTAAAATGATTATATTGTAGTTTCTATGTGATAGTAATTCAGTTCATTTGATCAAAAGTATGGACATCCACAAATTATCATAGTTCAATTCATGAACTGATTACATCTAGACTAACATTAAAACCGAAGAAGCAAACGAAAGTAGTTTCTCTGTAGTGTGAGACTCCTAACTAATATGCATTTGGTGCCCTATCACTGAGGATGCAACCCACACTCTTCACTAACGCACATGAACTCTCAAAACTCAGACTACAGAGCTGGTATTATGTTATGTACATATCTGACATCGATCAGTTCATGATACTGTACTACTATCCCGCATTATTGCTGCAGAAAAATTCTTCACATCCGGCATAGCTGAACTCCACTGATCATGACTTCTCTATAGAGATTGGATTTTGAAGCTAGTCACTTGATAACAAATGATTAAAATTAGTATAGAGGGGTTTATGGACACTGTTGAATTTCAACAGTTTAAATCACTAACGTCTTTACTTATCACTAATCAGTTTATTACCTTGAGATCGATATCAGGTGGAGATACTTCATACAAAATTTTGTACCCGTAGGAATCAATTTCATGTCACCAACTATCAATCAGAGATGCTACCAATGAAATGTGACTCCCTGGAAAGTATGATTAATCTGTTCACCTAAAATATGACTTACAACTAAGTAATCAAATTTGTGTTAGGCGGTTTAAAGAGATCTGTAGGAAACTCTGAACATAATGATATGCTTGAAACTATTACGAGTTCACCTTACTCGGTAAACAAGAGCGAAGTCAAAGGAGCCAGTAACACGATAAGCTACTTTAATCCAAGCATCCCGAGTCCCCATTAAGTAGGAGAAGAAGTCTTGATGTGGCATAGAAAGTGTATTCTACAAGCTCCCAGCAAATATGAGGTTCAAGAGCATACAAATCGAGTTTATTTATACATCCTAGAAACATCCTTGGGAGAGCCACAAAAACAGCATACTAAAATAACACATCAACCAGTAACAATTAAGGATTTCACGGGTGGGATATGTAATCTCAGGGTCAACTGATCAGCCCATTCGCTAAAACATAAAAGCCAAAATTAGGACCTTTATCAAATGAGTTCTGGGGATCTAACGTCCCCAAAACATATGTCCCATGTTAGTTCGCACTCTTCAACAGTATTTAACTCTACCGTAAGAACTGAAACTCCCTGTGAAATGAGAACCTGTTCCATCAAGTTTCATAGTCTGAGATGATTCCGATTATCAGCTCAAATCGTAACTGACCTTGTGTGAGACTGAACTATCTATATTAATTTATCTTGGGGCTGTGTAACTAATATAACCTTTAAATAGTCTTTAATACCGATCAAACTCCATACAAAGGGATTAATAATCACAACTTTATCGACAAAAAGTTATACAGATAACATTACGGGGTTGTGATGATTGTTAAGTTACACATTTTTGAAACCATGAATCGATCAATGTTAGATCACCATTAGAAACCTGGAAGCACTGGACGGCCGTTTCGTCCAGGTATGGGACTCCTCAGCAGTGCCCATCCAGGACTCATGCACCCCTCAGGATTCGAGCGCAGGACCTTCGGTATTGTGCGCGAACGATTAACCATCGGACCACTGAGCCGGTATCTAATGGTTTCAAAAATGTGCAAGTTAACAATCTTCACAACCCCGTAATGCAAATTACCTGTGCTCACTGGTGACTAGCTTCGTGAGGAATCTTCTCCGAGTTCTAGTGGGAAGTCGTGAACAGTGAAGTTCAACCTGTTCGGGTGTAGACAGTAACTACTACCGAATATTGTGTATGAGGTTGCGCAACTCTGTGAATTGATCAAGGTAGACATTAACACCGTCCAGTGCTTCCAGGTTTCTAATGGTGGTCTAACATTGATTGCATCTCTAAGTTTTATGTTAAACTAAATCGAATAATTACATTGTGAACTGCCCTTTGACTAGTATCATTGGGACGTGTACAATGCGTATCCTTACCTGAAAATATTAGAAGAATTCATGTGAAGAAGAAATATTGCTCAACCTACTAAGAAGGCACTATTGACTTTATCAATGAGGTGGGAAAACAATTCTTTTATACCTCATCTATTTCTGTATGATTTATTATTGTGATTATTTTTTTTGTCTAGAATGGTGAACCAATTCTTTCCGATATCTATGAAACACCATATGCATCGGTAACAATACACGATGAACCGATCAATGAACAACATCCACCGAAACATATATCAATCAATTCATGCAATGCCAAGTCAAGCTTATCCACAAATAGAACAGAAGATAATTCTCATCTCTTATTGAAACCGAATTATTGGTCACCTATTACAAATGCCAATAACTTGCCCTTTACCAATGAAAATTCATCACACTCTAAACTGTTCAATCCATATTTATATTCTGTAGGCTATTTGGATTATGTCACAAATAATCCTTTAATTTATCCTCATCCATTGTATACATCAGCAACATGTCATACGAAACAATTACACAATGCCACTGTGAATACCACCACCACTGGAGGTGTAGTTTCTTCTTCATCTTCTACGGCTGCATTGTCTACAATTACAACTGCTGGTCTACCACCATCTGGACAAGTTTATCCAATGGATAATTGGAATATGATGGAATGGGTAGTTAAAAAACGTCCAGATGGAACACGTTATATAACTCGACGACCAATAAGGTGAGTTTTGATATATGAATATATATATGTATGTATGTATAGTTATGGTAGTTAATTTCATTGTCTTTTCGTAATACATGGAATATTTGCTGTTGTAAGTTGTAAATTGTCAAATAGTCTAAGCGATTCGACATCAATATGTACTATATGTAAATGCTAGGTGGTCGCAATTAGTCTAAAAAAACCCTGAACTCTAGTTTCGTGCTAGTTAGAAACACGTTAATAAGGCACATATATAATTTTGGCAGAACCGATTCTTTGTGTAGGATTCGAAACGCAATCACCCAACTTCCTTGTTAGAGAAGATTCCACTGACGTAATCAAACAACACGAAACCCAAATCTAACAAAAATTCCTACTTATTAACTTCGGTCAACTAACGCAACATAGTACTCGAGATACTAAGTCACTTATGCTATTGATCACATTCTATATTGATTGACAGAAATCTATGTGCGCTAACAATAAGCCATACTGACAATGATCACTGCTGACTGACCAATCATCAATGTGAATATCCCAGACTCACTGCGTTACGCATGAACGTACACAGATAATTTTGATAGGCTTGAACTATTATGAGTTTACCTTAGTCAGTAAACGAGAGCGAGGATCGAGGATCCGGAGACATGATAGGTTATTCTAATCTCAGTGTCCAAACGCCCATTGGTTAAAAAAAAGAAGACGTGATACGAAGTGGAACCTGTATTCTACAAACATCCATAAAGTACGAGGTCCGAGTCCAGAAAAGAATCAGGGTCCCGGACTAGGGATCCGGGTTACAGATAATAAGTATTTATACTGTTAGGTCGAAAAGGAAACAGCATCGAAGTTTATGACATTTACAGTCAAGCAACCAATAGGAAACAACATTTGAAGTGACACTGATAGTCAGGACGACCAATAAGCAACAACACTGGAGTAGGTAACATTGATATCTAGGACGACCATAAAATTGACTAGTATGAATTAACCAAAACGGATTGAGCAAGAATTCTCTTAGGATATTGGATGAATATTCTAACACACTGGAGTTCAGTCATGGCTCAAATAGCTTATAGACTAAACCTCAAAGTGGAATGACTCAGATCCTAACCCCACAAAGAGTATCAGTTCTGTTCACTTTAAAAATTCACTATTCTATCGGTCAAGACTGGTCATAACATCGAAACCAAGTCAGCCTTTGTAGTGATATGAAAATGCGTTCAAAGATTATTGAAGAATTAGATAAACAAAAACTGAAACGTACTTCAGCTATTCAAAAATAGTCTTTTCTAACAATTATTCTACATTTGGTAATACTGAATGTTTATCCAGCGTGGTTTCTGCAATGTATACTTTACCATTATCTTTTTTTCCACTCATCTTCTAATTCATTCAGTTAACCTTTTTTTCTCATATATAATTTCTGAACGTATATGTCTGTGAATCGTTCGTTCGAAGTGTGCAGCACAAATCAATCAATCAACCAATCAACAGCAACGTAGAACTTCGTACATACATACATACATCAGTTCAAGTTGCCATACCACATGAGCACAGAGATGGCAATTGTCAATTCCCATCCCATAGTAGTAGAGGTAGTAAAAGTATTAGCAGAATTGGAGAGATTAAGGTTCGATGACATTATTCAAGGGTGGAATCTAGTGAAATAAACTTCAAAAGAAAAAGATAAAGGTGATGAGGAATTCAGAAGGTTAGGATTTGAGGGAATACAGTGAATGAATGCACCTTGAGCCATTGCAAGCGATTGTTGAGCCATGTCATTCAAGGTCCTCCCTCTAACGATCGTCTCGCGGAC